ATTGTTGTTTTAGAGTGCAATTCAGCGTGTATTCAAATTATCCACCATCAGTTGAAGCTAAAATAAATGTAATATTTAAGAAAAAATATTCTAGATTCACTGATATTGGAGTTTCCCTGTGTGATACTGTAATGTATGAAAATTTGAAATACCCCAATACTAACTTACTCCTACAGTTGAAGCTAAAATAAATGTAATATTTAAAAAAAATATGCTAGATTCACTGATATTGGAGTTTCCCTGTGTGATACTGTAATGTATCAAAATTTGAAATACCCCAATACTAACTTACTCCTACTTTTAGTAACCAATGCATAATTCTTAAAAAAAAATTCTGATATTATTACAAAATCAATAAAAAATATTCATAATAAAGAAAATACAAAATAGTTCATGTATCAAAATTATAAAGGTATTACCCACCTGACAAATTAAAATGATCTCAGTAATAAATAATCATACTAATTTAAATGCCAATGTAGTTTAATTATATAAATTAATAGTAATTAATAAATTAATAGTAAATTCATAGTATAGTTTAATAATAAGTTTAAAACTTATTTTACTTTTATCTTTATTTTATATTAAATATGAAGCTTTAATGGTTTTTCATTGTTATATGTAAAATTTAATTCATGTTCAAAAATAATTCCTGTCATAACATGAGTCAGATTAACATGTTATATCTTGTTTTCTGGAAGATCCGACCTTTTAAATTTTTTACAAGGGTTTTCAATGTTTGCCTTATCTGACACAGATGTGTGGACGAAGGTAAATTGTTTTTTTCTCTGTTTGTAGTTAATGCCACAAATAGATAGATTTTTTTTTTTATAATGTATAATATTTCATTCTTTCTAAAATGTTATAAAATAAGCTATATAGAATGTTTTAAAATTCCCTTCTACCCTGCCTGATTTCCATCAAACAAAGCACTCATCCATAACTAATAGTTTTTTTTAATTCAAATAAGTACAATTTTAAATCATTAACTCTCATTAGCTTATTATTGAATGATCTCTTTTGATATTAATTTTTGATACAATTAAAGTTTTCAAATTTTTTGGGCATCTTCAAAAATCCCTGCTGTATTTAGAAAAAGTGTATTATCTTATTTGCTTGAAAGCCTACCCAACAAGCACACAACTTTTGGTCGTGAGGTGTGTGCTTACTGGGTACATTCCATTTTCAGAATCTCTTCATTCTAGTTTATAGAAGAGCAGTTGAGCACATTAAGTAAATCATAAACAAAAAATAATAATTTATGAAAAGGATAGACTTGAAGAACATAATATTGGATTCTAATGAATAAATAAAAAATTATAACAATTGTTATTTAATGGTGCTTTGATTTGTGAATATATAAAAAAAATTTTAAAGTCATTTTAACTCAGAAGTTTCTTTCTATTAGATTATTTAAGTTTCTTTTTATTAGATGAATATAAGGAATTATATTAAATATCGAGTGATTTTTCTTTGTATTAAGCTTCAACGCTTTTTTAAACTAAAATATTTTTAAAGCTATTAAGATTTTTACAGGGTATCTGCGCACCTGGAAAGTCATGGATTTCGGCATTGAGAAAAAATTTTCATAAAATGTCATGATTTTAACTATTTAAAAAAAAAAAAATCATAAAAAGTCATGGATTTAGTTCGCCAAAAAATCTAATATTTAAAATGAAATTTAGTCCCCTTCCCCAATTTCACTGTGTTCCGAATATCTGAATTTGTAACAAAAACCCCACTCGCAGTCATATTTTATTAAAATATAAAATATTCTTATCCTGCTCTTTAAAAACTATGATGTTCTTTCAAAAAATGAAAGAACATTATTTCTAGAGTGAATTATCTTTTAAGCTTCTGTGATTTCAATTTTTTTTTACTTATTTATTATTTTTCATTTTTTTTAATCAATTTTAAATTCTTGCTAAAGCAAATTAGGAGTATTTCTTTCCTTTCTGATGAACAAGAAAAGTATCTTTAAAAAATAATTCTGCAGAGAAGAAAAATGTTTTGCTTTTATACTTTTTTCAACTATTTTATTGCTTCAATTCTTTCTTTACTCTGTTTTTTAAATTTAAAATCTATAAATATGAAGATGCAGAGTACAACAGTTTTGGTTTTATCTATCATTTCAATTAATGTGGGCCGGCCAGGTGGCCGAGTAGTTAGTGTGCCTGACTGCTGCTGGTTCGAATTCCACTCTGGGCATGGATGTTTCTCTCTCAGTGTTGTCCTCTGTTGTGTGTGAATGTGACCCACCCTATAAAACGGATATCTGTGACAGTGTGGCATGAGTGATGTTGCTCGCCTCCGTAACTTAGGTTCACAGGTGCCCACAGGGTAACGTGAAATGAGTAACACTTCCAGCATCTTCCGAGGTGGAGAACTAACAGTTCAGTACCTGCTGTTAGAAAAAAAGAAGAAGAAAATTTTAATTAATGTTATTATGATGCTTTCTTAAATTTATTGTTGTGTTTTTGTTGGAGAAAATAGTAACTTTGTTAAGTCATGAAAAATTCTTGGAATTAGTCATGAAAAGTCATGGATATGAAAATCTAAAATATAGCAGATACCCTGTTTTTATTTAATTTTAACTGACTCAACATTTAGTTTACACTAAATTATGTGACCGAACATACTCTTGCTTTTGTAGCACTATATTGGATAATGATTATTTAGGAAAGATCCTTTGCAAGCTCAGTTTTTTTCCTTTTTTTTATATGGCTTTTAATTTACTTACTTATTTAATATTTTTGTCGTAGCTGTTATAGTTTCCCCTCATTCTTCCTTACCTTATTTTACTAGAACTTCCACAGTTTCAGATCAAACATGATATAATTATTTTTATTTTTTCACAGGAGGGGAAGGAGCACTTATTGGTGCAGGTGCATCCGTTGCTGGTATTGGATCAGATATTGGAGGCAGCATCAGAATTCCAGCTTTCTTCAATGGAGTGTTTGGCCATAAACCTACGCCTGGTAAATAAACTTTTTCAGAAACAATTTGTTAGGTATATATGTATGTATTTGAAATAGTTCTATACATCCAGTGGCATAGTGTCAATGTATGTTTGAGGGGGTTTATTGGTTATCTTCTGTCTTTGCTGTTGTTGTTGGCCATCAAAGCGAATGGGGTGTTGTCCAGTGGGGCCATCTGTAACCAAGAATACGACTTCTGACACACCCATAGTATAACTTGTTTATAGGGCAAACCCGTCCATGCATTCACAGATCTTAATTTTGACCTGAACCAGGGAACGATCAATCTCCAATTCAGTATCCTCAGAGGTGTAGTTTGTTATGGGAATATGGAGGACTTTATGACCCGACAGATTTGACCTGCACCGGTCACCATTTACTACACTGGGAATTTTTGGTCTGCGAAATCCCTTTCCCAAGAAAGAGTGTCCTGCCAACTTGACTATCGCTGCGCTATCTTCTTTATATATATTTATATACCGGGATCTGTCCAGGCTAAATTTGCTAGCGTTTAGCGGTACCTTCACAAATTCAACTTTAGAAAAAGCGGTAGTTTCACGAAATACTTTTTCTTAAAATTTTATTTTTGTATCTCGTACGAAATGATAAATGCATTTTTTCACCATATTTTTGTGTTGACTTTTTAATATAATTTTTATTTTACACAAATTATGTCTAAAGTTTCACAAAAAAGGTACCTCTCAAAAAAAAACCTTGACAGACCCCTGATATATATATAAATATATATATATATATACTCTAAATGTTTAAACTACAAGAAACTGAATAATGAAAACTTTCTTATATTTACATCCTACTATAGTTAATATTAGTCCTACTATATAGTGCAATAGTTAATTAATCAAGTAATATATATAATTTCAGCTGGGGTTTTGTCCCCAAAACTACGCTACTGTATATGTCAGAATATCATTACTACTAGGATTATTATTATAGGATTATTATTATTACTAGGAAAATTAAATTTAAAATTCTCCAGGTAAAAATACCGCATATTGGTTTACTGACATTGTCATTTTTGTTTCATGCTTTTATTCTCTCTTGTTTTGTACAAGATATCAATTGGAGACAATGGATAAATCACTCATCCTTCAAATACGAAATAACTTCACATCATAAAAAAAAATACAAGATCGTCGATTTGTAATGTTTATTACTTTTTATCAAGTTTATTTAATATAAGTTAGGAAATTAAATTATAATTTTAAAAAACTTATTAAATTAGAGCAAAGTTTGATGGCTATTCCAAATTGACATTATTAGGACAAAATAAGAAAGCATGATGAGCCAAAAATTAAATAATAAAACTTATTTTTTTTATAGTTACAAATTTAAATAGGTTCATTTAATAAATTTTTTAAATTGAAGTCATGCAATTAACACAAAAAAAATTTACAATAAGATTTAATCTTTAAATAAATTTAGAGTTTGCTATAATAGAAATAAGAAAGCAAAACTGACAAAAATCTAATAGTTAAATAATTATAAATTCAGTTCTCCTTCATCAGTATATGAATATTATCAAAACTAATAATTAAATGTAGACTAAGTGTTCTCAAAATACAATTTTATTGAAATAGTATATTGAATATTATACGTTGACCCCCTTACTTATTCAAAACAAATGATTATTTTATTATAGTTCTTTTGCGAATGGCATTTAATAATCCAGCAATTTATATTTTATTTTGATGTGGCTATTCTAACTGTGACTTTATCTATTTATTTTTATTATATGTGGACATCTCTTTATTAAGTCTTAGTCTGTGTACTTTTAAATTGTTATTCTCTTTCATTAATTTTTCTTTTCATGTATATACATTTCAATTTTTCTAATTGTTTTATTTAATTTGTTTTTCCATTATGAAACCTCAGAGGCACTGTCAGTTTTTAATTTCACCACTGACAACAGAAAGGCTCCTGTGTGTTTGCAGGCAGTGTGTCCCCTGATGAAATGCTAACACACCTTTCTTAAAGTTTTTGTTGTTTTCTGCTAGAATTGTATTTGCTCTTTTCAATTTTGATTTATTATTTTAAATGTTACTTACTAATTTTGTCTTTTACTGAATTTGTAAATTAGTTTCATTCTTTGTTTAGACAAATAGCATTTACTAATGTCCGATATTTTATCAGGCAATTATACTAATTCATTAATTATATTATTCATTAGCTCGCTTCCAATTGTTTATCAGGCAAAATAATATATTAATAACAATATTCATGCCAAATTATTCCTTCGAGAAAAAGTAACATTTTAAAATACAAATTATATAATATCTAGTTTCACAGATAACCAATTATCGTTTTACTTTCGATTTTAGAAAGACAAAGAGCTAAATTTTGATTGGCCAAACAGAATCACACAATGAATATACTGGGACAAAATTCAATACATATAGAAATAACTGAAATAAGAAAAGAGTGGAAATAAAAATAAATGAGGGGGAAAAAATTTCCATTTGTTTTTAAAAGCAAAATGCTTTAATGAAACAAAGTTAACAATTAAAGAAATGTGTAATATTAATTTATTCAGTCACAAACATGAGTTCTTGAAGAGTATATCTTAGAATGGCCCCATTGCAAAATTCTTTTCATTGTTACTTACTAAATGAATGAATATATTTCATTTGTTAAAGTTATGCTGATATTGCGACCTACTATCATGGGTTAACAAACTAATTAAAATGAATTGTAAAAACTTAATTTCGATAATTTATGCAGCTTTGTTAAGTAAAAATAAAAAGTTATGAGAAGACAAACTTGTAATCTTAGTTCATTTTTTGAAATTGACAAATTTGCTTCTTGACATGGAATTTCGTTTTTTTTCTACGGAATTTTCATTAAAATAAACTTAATTAACTACTCTAACATTGTAAAGATCTTATACATTTGGACAAAGAACAAGTTACAATGGAATCACAACTTAATTGAAATGATCTAGTTTGTCTTCAAAAAATATTATTCAATTTATGTCTATGTAGTTTAATGTTTATTTAATATAGTAATTCCTTTAAATTTTAATTTTTATTATATAGCTTAATTTGTAGTTAATGTCTATGTAATTGTTCGAAGTTCAGCTTTTTTTTTCTTTCTAAAACTGCTGGATTGAAATTCAGGTTTGAAGTAGTAATCCTAATTTAGCAAAATATTCAAAAGTTTTTAACTTCCTGCTAATTTCAAAACTTTCATCATTAAGCATACTACTTAAATTGTTTTTGATAACATTCATATCTGAAAATCATTGTTCATGATAGTCTGTGCTAGATTATTAAATTTTGATTGGCAATGTCAATATTGCAGCTAATTTTCCAATATAATTAAACTATATTACCACAACTTCGATTCTACTGAGTTGCATATGAGTCGCGAGCCACATGTAGCACACTTTTTATCTAATGTCCTATTTAAAATTATCATAATTAGAATTTTAGAGAATTCGCCCATAAAAATTTTATTAATAAATGAAATTTATTTTTCAGAAGTTGTATCGAATTATGGAACCTATCCTCCGTCCGGTGAGAGAGAATTTGTGCCATATTTAAGTATGGGCCCCTTGTGTCGTTATGCAACTGACCTCATTCCATTGATGAAAGTTCTCACTGGAAAAAGTGCACCTCTTTTGAACCTAGACAAACCTGTAAGTACTTTTTTTATTATTATTAATTTGCTTTATTGCTTATGAATGAAATCTCCGATTACTTTTCAACTATTTTAAACCCTTACGGGGGTCTGTTTAGAAGAAATTTGGGTCCGTTAACAGCCACCCTTCACAAAATATCTTTTCATAAAAACGGACCCTTCACAAATTTGTTTATCTTCATTATTGTTTTGTTAATCGAATAAACCCTTCCCCCGGGGGGGGGGCGAAAGACAGTTCGAGACAAACTAAGTTTCCCTAAGTTTAAATTCCAAATGTAGTATTCTAAGAAAATATTTTTACTTTTACAAACATCATGTGCGCATTCTTATTAATATTAAATCATAATTTTTTTTCTTTATAAGTATTCATAAAATTCAATTCAATTATATTCATTCAATTTATATTTATTCATAAAATTAATTAATAGAATATTATGTAATTAGAAATTTATTTCTGGCAATTTTTTAAATAAAATGTTTTAAATTTAAGAATTGTTTAAGTTTACTTCATGGGTAACACATTAAAAGTGATACATTATTAAGTTGTGTCATTTAAAATATGTCAATTGAAATTATTAAAAATGTGAATGATTTTGTTTCCATTATTTGTCCGAAATGAATATTCTGTGTTGAGCAGCGTAGGCTAAATGAAGAATATTTGTATGTTGCATCTCTAATTTAGTAGCAGCAATTGTTGAGCAGAATCTTGTATCTATTTACAATTTAAGAACTTCTTTAAAAGGTTTTTAGCAATTTTTGCAATAACAGGACCCTGGTTGGAAGAATGTTACTTAACGCTTATTTTATATTCACAAATTATGAATAGTTTTTCACAATTTTACAAGAACAGAAACTTTCACGAAATGTCTGGACAGACCCCTGCCTTAAATCTCAGTTAGACATCTGTGGCTGCTGGCACTGCATTTTTCAATTGTTTCCATTAGCTGCTTGTAGAATTTCTTGTAATATTATAACTAAGTGTGCCACTTTTAAATTCTAGGGACTGAAATCAGTCTTGAGAGGATGCTGTTCAAAGTTAAATTGAGATTAATAATGTTATTATTTTTTTTTTTTTAATTTACAGTAGAAGGAGAAAAAATAAATAATGAGGAAGTGAAAAATAAGTAGAGAAATGTAGAGCTTCATGAAAAAATTAGTGGTTTATTATTCAGTGATTATGCAAAAATATGTACTAGGTTAGCTGTTATTTTTATCTTGTTTGTTGTAAAAAAATAAGCTATTAGAATGAAAAAGGATAACTAGATAATTGATTTCATTTAAGAATCATAGAAAGGTACATTTTTTTAGTCAGATAACTATACATTTCTGAAAATTTATATAAACAACTCTAGATTGTGTTAATTGATCAAAAAAATAAGTTCAATCTTGAAATATTTTTAGAGTGGCACCCTTGATTATAACCAATTAGAATTTACAATAAATTAAAATTCTGACCACTTTTTCATTTGCTAGAACATTTTATTTATAACTGAGCTGTATGACAATACAAATTTCAATTCTTTTCCTGCAAGAATTTAAGACCATTTTATCAACAAAGGAAGGGGAATTTTTTAATCATCGAAATTTTGGTCATAGTCTAAAATCAAATTAACAAGCGTAATAATGAAACAAAGCTTTTTAAAACTAGGTTTTTCTAGTGGGTTGAAAAATCAAGATATTATTCTATTTTCTCACATTTTAAATAAAATTATAAAGCCAATCACTTGTATAATAAACTGTGATGAAATTTAGAGTTGAGTCTCAAAAGTAAAGTTCTATTTTTCTTTTACTATGTGAGAAAAATATAATTATTTTCTCTTTTAATCTTATTGGAAAACAAAGTTTTTAAAATTTTTATTTTATTTTTTTAATATATATATATATATTTCTCTCTCTAAAATATAAAAAGTCATTTTATAATTTCTACAGACTTAAGTACCAACTACAGAATTTGGTAATGATGCAACTGCTTTCTCTTCATTAAGTCCATTAATTTTAACATGGTCCTCTAATTGAAGAAAGAAAAACTTAAATGTGACTGTACCACCAGCAAAGGGCTGTATATGTTTTAGTTTTTTTTTAGCCATTGTTATTAATCACTAAACTTTGAAATATATATATCTGTCTGTGTGTTAAATCATATAAAAATCAAAATATCATATTACGAATTATTAATGATAGGGAAATGTAAAGTAATATTTTGCTTGTAGTAACACCATTTTTTTTTTAAATATCAAGAAATGGTTCGATGATAAATTAATACAGGATGCGTAAAGTTTTTAAAAGGTGGTTATTTTATATTTAAATTTTTTAAAAGCCCTTGAAGGTGCTTTTTTTATTTGAGGTTTGTAAAAAGAGTAATTTTTTATGTTATAAAGAGATTTTTTCTGTGCCGTGTCGATTGTCATTCTAAATTACAAAAAAAAATGCAATTTTCTCTGCAATATTTATCAAAAACTGGTTATTTTATAATGATTATGTGAAGTTTGTGAAAATGTTTTTGAATTTTCTAGATTTTATGCTCATAAATTAAGAACTTAAAACGATAGAAAAACATAATTTTTATTACTGCACAGGTCTTAATTATGTTTTTTTTTCTTAATTATTTATTTATTTTTTGGAAGGAGATTAAAAATATTTTTTGAGTGTTTAAAAAGAACTTAAGAGGTGTTTATTCTTTGTTGAAATATCTGGCTTGTAATAGTAATTTTCATAAATATCATTTTTTTTAAATATTTGTGAAAAATGTATGTACATTTCAGCCGGAAAAAAAAACTAATTACTTATATCATATATTATGCATTGTTTAAAAAACTCAAAATACAGTATTAAAAAATGTAAAATATAATATTGTAAAATATGAATATGTGATCTTTATTAGGTGGAGTGGGGGGGGGGGAAGCACTGCAGTGATTTCTTTTTCTCTAATTCTATTTACTGAGCATGATTCACTGCTGAATTCTTTTTCTCTCTATTTTTATTCACTTTTCATTTATTATCTGGTAAGAGAGTGAAAGAAAAGAGAATTGAGAATATCAAAAAAGTATAATTCAAATTTAAAATTCTCTTGTCGTAATAACATTGTATTAAAAATATTGGAATTTGAAAAACCGTAAAGTAATGTGCAATTGCAGAAAAGGTAACTGGATCTAATATTTGTAACATAATACTTTTTAGATGAATCTGTATGAAGTTGTATGTAGAATATGTGTTAGATTTACTCATACAGAATGCTTAGCCTTGTTAAAGGTGCTTATTTTTTATTTACGTTTTTTAAAAGCCCTTAAAGCCGCTTTTTTTATTCGTGGTTTGTAAAAGATGTAATTTTCTATCTTTTAAAGAGAGTTTCTTTTCTTTGCCGTGACGATTGTCATGTTTTAAATTACAAAAAATGCATGATATTCACGATTTTCTCTGTAATAATTATCAGAAACTAGTTATTTTATCATGATTTAAAGTTTTTGAATATTATTGATTTTAAGTTTATAAACTTAGAACCATAGAAAAAAATAATTTTTATTACTGCACAGATCCTAATTATGATTTTTTTTGGGGGGGGGAAGAGATTGAAAATATTTATTCTTAAAAGGTGCTTAATTTTTTGTTGAAAAATCTCTGCTACGCACCCCATTATACATAAAGTAGGTCTAATTCTGAAATGCCATTAATGTTCTAGACAGTAAATCATTTTCAAAATGTTGTTCTTTCTAAAAGACTTTCTCTCATGTTGGAAGAAGTTCTTAATAATAAAATTAATATTGTATTTGTAGGTGAAACTAAATGAAATTAAAGTATATTATGTTGAAGATGTGAGAAATCATCTCATGTTTACTAAAGTGGAACCTGATATTGTGAATGCTATACATAAAGTACGTATATGTTAAAAATCTTATGTAGTCTAATATTTATCTTCCTGTACACATGACTCTGAATTTTGTTACTGCATTTAAATATTACTGAAATATTTTAAATTGTTATTTAAAAAACTATGTTATCTAAATACCTGACTCTCAATTTTATAACACCTTAAGCCCCGTGGCAGAATCACAGTGGCACGGCGACATTGTCGCAGAATGTTACAGAGCTCTTTCAGAAAGATTTTTCTTTTGAAAAGTAAAAAAAGTTTTCCTACAGAAATTTACATGTAATATTTGAGCCATGCTTTTAAATAATCACTTTTTGACGCACTCAATTTACGTCGATAGTATCGTGAATCAATGTTATGTTTTGGTTGTATTTTCAGCAGTTATTGATTTTCAGGTGGAGTTTAAGCATCGCAATATATTTCCAACAATATGGAAAATTCTAATCAAGCATTTGAGTATTTACAGTTTAAGGTAATAACTCAATTGAATTTTTGGTAGCTATTGATTTCTCTATGGTTTTTAAATCTGATATTTTTGATACAATATTATTTGTTACAACAACCTAATCTCGAAATGAAACACGCATTTGAGGAGTCCGATTCGTGTGATTTTGTTGTCAATCAAATACAGCGCTTTTGTCATTTTAAATTAGTAACATATATGCTTGTTATTATTAAAAGTATCTTGCAGAAGGATGTTAGTGCTGAAGAGTTTTGTCGCAAATAGCTCAAAAAGATTCTACTACAGGGCCCTTAAGTTAGTTCATTTGTGTGTAAACATATCTGAATAGAACTCTTGTAGCTATGTTTAAAAAAATTTATTATTATTAATCTGATAGCATTGGTTGTTTTGGGGTTGAAGAATAACTTACAAAATCTAGTTAATTAAGTTATCATCATCATCAATGACTCGACAACCCAGGGTGGACCTCTGCCTTCTCAAGAAGTTTTTTCCAGGCCAACCCTTTTTTTTGCTAGTGTTTTCCAATTTTTAGTAGTTAATTAAGTTATCTAATTGAAACATTGTTTTATAAAACATACTATAGATTTAAATTCATTGTTATTTTTTTAATCCTTGTTCACTTTTATAAAGTGTCAGAAGCATATTTTTGCCATAAACTACTTACTATTTTACAATTTCTCTATTTACTTCAAAAATTGACTCTTTTTTTTTTTGTGTTCTAAGAAATATTGCAATTCATTTCTGATCTAGCCTTCTCAGATTTTTTTTTATTTTTCCAAATTAAAAAAAAATTTTAATGAAGATTTACCTGTTCTTTTCAGTTCTAATTGGAAAACTTTAGTGTTTTAAAATAAATCAAAAAAAGCAGAATTTTAATGAATCAAGTGTATAGAGAATGACATGAAAGATTCTGTCAGTATTCTTACAATAAAATTAATAAAAATAAGAACCCCAACTTTAAAATGCATATACTTGAAAGAAGTTTTGAAACTTAAACATGACTCAAAATCTAAATTTCTAATCTGTTTAATTTTCTTTTTTAAAAAATTAAAAAAAATCTGATTTATTTAAATCAGATACTTTTCATTTTATATATATTTTATTATAAGAAGTCTTTTTGTATAGAACTCAATAATTACTATAAAGATGCCAAATAGAGTTTATTTTTCAAACAGCTTTTTCAGGCTTTATTATATCTTTTTAATATACTTCAAGATACAAGAATTTCAATTCTTGAATAAAATCTCTTGGTGTATTAATAAATGCATATAAAAATATTTCTGATTTGTTCTTAATTTACATTCTGAAAAATCTAAACTAATTTTTAAATTTCATCTACTAATTGCTGTAATTTCTTACACCAATAAGTGCTAATGTAACTATTGCTAAATAAATTTTATTTGCATAGAATTTAACACATCATAAAATTTTAAAACTTCAAAAGTAAATAAGAATTTTAATTAGTGTATAGATAAATGCATATAAAAAAAACAGTTCTTAATTTACATTCTGAAAAATCTAAACTAATTTTTAAATTTCATTTAATAATTGCTGTAATTTCTTACACAATAAAATTAATTTATTTACATAGAATTTAATGCATCATAAAACTTTGAAATTCAATAAGAATTTTATTCATTATTAAGAATTAATCATTTAGAATTAAGATTAAGAATTAATCATTTTATTTCATTCAGAATTTAAATCAGTGGTTCCCAATCTTTTTTGACTTAACACCCATTCCCCTCTTTAGATGATAATTGCTATCTATTGCTTCTCAATAAATGTTGACTGCCGCCTTTAGCCTTTCTCTTTTCTTGCTTTAAAAACTGCAAGTTCTCGCTAATAAACATCAAAATACTGAATTTAAAAATTAAAAAATGAATGTAACATTTTACATTTTTTCTCCCCTTCTTTTCTTCTTCCTTTATTTTTTCAAAAAGGACAGATAAATGTAGGAAGCTAATTAAAACAGGAGTACATGTTTATTTATTTCTTACTTGGAATGTAGGAGAATTGAATACTTTTATAACTAAAATTTGAAAACTCTATAGCCCAGCAGCAACATTGTCACAGAACATTACAGAGTTCTTGCAGAAAGATTTTTTTTCTGCAAAGTAAAGAAAAAAAAACATTACTTTTCTTTTCCTCAGAAATTTACACCTAATATTTCAATCATGCATTTAGAATATCACTTTTTGAAGCGCACAATTTACGCCAATTGTATCGTAAATCAGCGTAATGTTTCGATAGTATTTTCGACAGATATTGATTTTCATGTGGTTCTTAACTATCCCAAATATTTCAAACAATATGAAGCGCTGGAATTGGGCATTTGATTATTTACTTTTCAAGGCAATAATTCTATCAAATTTTTGGCAGTTATTGCTATCGATTTTTCCAGAGTTTTTAAATCCGATATTTATTACAAAAACCTAGTCTCAAAACGAAACATGCATTTCAGGAGTCCGATACGCGTGATTTCGTCGTCAATCTATTTTCTGCAATTACCTACTACCGCAGATTTCATGGTTTTTAATTATTTTTTATTGTGATGATTATTTATTTATTTTGTGAAGAAGGAAATAATTTGTACATGATCCACCCAGCAAAATGCAAGAATATCACCCATAATATTAGAATAAAAAATTATTGCATGTTCAATAATGATAATATATATATATTATAGTTTTTTTTTAACACACCACTTTTGTTATTTTAAATTAGTAACATATATTAGAAAATCTTTTAACTATCATTGATGAATTAAATGCCTATTAATATTCGAAACATATCACTTAACATTAAAATGTTATGTATTAAGTAAGCATAATACGTAACATTTCAAGTATGTTTGATGTCAATCATAACTCAAAAATACTGCTGTTTTTCTATTTTGATGACCATAAAAGTTCCCAAAATTCCCTAAGCGTAAAATATTTAGTATATAATGCAACAATTATCATGAAATTTATGTTATTTCGTAAAACCTACTGGATTTTTTCTTATTCATGTTGGCAGCTTTGGAATAGTATAGTTGTTTAAATCAACAAATCTTAGTTAAAATATTAGATATTCAGGATATCCATACAACAAGGGAATTAGGGAGAACAGGATAAAGTTAGGGAATTTTATCTATCTGGAAATTTCAACTAAAATTCTCAAAAAGCCTATTGAAATTATTTGTGTTTGGAGCACCTAAAGGTCCATTATTATTTCCAAGAATAAATATTTGCAGTGCAATAAATATTATAAAAAGGAATAATTTACTTTCGATAGCACATATCAGTGTTTTGTAGTATATTTTGTGTTTTCATTGTTGGGGTTTCAGATCAGGACAGGTGGGTTTTGCTGTTTTAAACTGTCCAAAACCTTCTGTAAATTGGTAAAAGGTAAAATTCCTATATGTGTAATCATTGTACACATAATAATTGCATATATTAATAAATATTTGATACGTTTTATGCAATTTACTTTAAATTATGAAAGGAAAATAATATAATATAATAAGAAGAGATTAATAACTTTGATGCTGCACAATTCATTGAATAACAAAAGTGAATACATTATCCTTTAAATATGCTTTTAATACAGATAAATTAAGTTTTTGCATAAGGATAAATAATATAATATTAAAAATAATACTTTTTTTAAAAACAAAAACTTCTTTTCGTTCTTCATTTTGTTTCGTTTTTCAAAAATTAACCTTTTTTTTTTTTTAAAATTGTGATGTAATTTGAATCAAAGGGTTTAGGACAATTTGAATAGTTTATTGTTATATTTAATAGTTTACAATTTGGATAGTTTAAGACAGTTTTGGACTGGACGGTTTAAACTGTGGATTAATACAATATGTCCTAAACCTTGCCAACTCTGGTTTATTTAAAAGGAATAACTTAAAAATTAATTTCAAAATTTATATCACAAGTTACAAAAATGTAGAGAAATTTAATAAGATCAGGGATTTTTTTCCCTTGAGTGTTTGTGGATATTCTGGATATGTATTTTTTTTTTTTNTCAAACTATTTTGCCACTATTGTAGAAACAATATTGCAAATATATTTCAATATTTTTATCTGAATCTTTTATATTTATATTAACCCATTTTAGGCCAAGCATAGAAATTTTATAAAATGTGGTACTATTTTCATTGAAATATACTTACATCACATTCATTAAAACAAAAAAATTATATTTTATATAAGAAATAAAATGTCGCGTATAGGCCAACCAAATATTATGCATTAACCAAATTAATAAGCAAACAATTTAGTTTTTTTTTTTATGAAATTTGTTTTATTTTTTCTTTATTTACTGACTTTTAAGTTTAATCGATCTTAAAAACATATGATAAATCTCAAAAGGAATAATTATACATTTTCAAAAAATTTCATTTGTCAATAACGGTTTTAAGTGTAAAAAAACTTTAATAGTTTAAAAATTTCTCAACAGAAAGTATTTAGTCCGATTGAATTACTATTAACTTTTGGGTGTTTTAAGAATCTTTGACAACAGCAGATAAATAAAATCAGTGAAAAAATTACGTCACAGTGTTCATGAAAAATATTTATTGAAATGGTGCATTTGGGTAATTTTGGCCGAAAATGGGTTAGTTTTATTTAGTATTTGTCTTATTTTTTAAAACTTTGTTGCTAGCATACCATTAGTTTTAATTGTTTAAATACCTGTTCATCTATTATTAAAAATTAATCCTCTTGTTTAAAATAGGTAACAAAAGAAAAGATGTAATTTTGCAATTTTTTTCAGTATTCAACGTTTTTTGCCACTATTTTATAATTAATATTGCAAATATATTTATCATCCAATAGGTTACAAGTCATTTCAGAAACGCCTACAAAATAGTTCCAAAAAAGTTGGAACTGCCTATTTTGAAGTACATGTATCTCATGTGGGCTTCTGCCATCTCAAACTGCAAAGCTCCCACCTTTTCTGATGAACTTGCAGAGCGCAAAGGTTTGATGCACTTCAAAATGAAATTTTTGCAATGGCTGATTGGCCAGTCAAGATTTACATTCCCCGCCATTGTACTGGGCATGCTCGAAAGCACAGTTCTGGAACAAAGTGGTAATTACTTGAGGATGTTGAAGGACCTTCGGAGAGAACTGACGGAACTGCTCGGCGACGACGGCATCCTGCTTTTCCCTCCTCACCCAACCTGTGCCCCACACCACAACGAACCTTTATTCAAGCCCTTTAATTTCGCTTACACTGGTTTGTTTAATGTCCTAGGATTTCCAGTTACGCAATGTCCACTAGGATTGGGACGTGAGAACTTGCGCATTGGTGTACAAATTGTGGTCAAGCCTTTCAATGACAGATTATCGCTCGCTGTTGCAGTTGAATTAGAGAAAGTGTTTGGTGGCTGGATTTCACCGTCAAAGATTGTGGAGTAACCGTGATTGTGTTGAGGAAGAAAATAATCAAAGTGCTTCATTTAAAGGAATTAAATTGCAATCATTGACTGAAACTTTTAATATATTAATTTTTATTTAATGTTGAAAAAATGTCAGTGTCTTGTTAACACAAATGTTTAAATTATTTTGTGTTTATTAATTTCTAATTTTATTTATTATTCATGTTTTCCCGATTTGTGATTTATTTTTTTAAATTTGAGTAGAATAATTTACTGTAGCTGTTGAAGTTTGATTTTCTTGCATCTTGATTTTCTAATGTTTTGAAGAATTCTCTATTTAAATAAAACACAAATTGAAAATAATTATTTTGAATAAATGCCAGTTTTTTTTTATTTGGGAATTGTTTTATTAATTATTTTTGAATTAGTTCAAAAATATTTATTTATTGTGTCCTTTCTTATTTGTGTTATGTAAAAATATTATTACTGTATAAAATAAATATATTTTGCAATTCAAAATTATGAATTAAAAAATATGAATGAATATTTTTAACTTTATATAAACTTTTACTTTCAAGTACCTCAAATGGAAAATACTGCAGTCAATTGATATTAGTAGCTACTACAAAAATTATATATTTCTGCTTATTATATCTTATTTTCCTTTATTGATTATAAATAGAAATTCTTCTAAATGAAAAATGTTTAATATGTTGTGTATTACGTCACATAAAATTCCTATTATTTCATGAAAGTGCTGAATTTTTCTGTGATGCAGCTATACATTTAATTTAGGATAAAACATCTCTTAATTCAGTAAACTTATTTATCAATACCATATAATAATAATGTAGCTATTCTGGTAATGTGGTTAACAGGCTTAAGCATCCTCTGAGTTTGAAAAAGGTTTTGTACAATTTATTTAAATTCAATTATAGTTGTGATTTAATGCTCTTTTACTTGAAACATGCCTTCCAATCATTCTTTTCATTATTTGTAGTTTGCTAATTTTGTAATATTATGCAGTACATAATAATTTTTTTATTAATTCAAATAATTTTTATAAACTTGCCTTTCTTGAATAATTATTTATTTTCCTGATAAAAATTCGTTTGAGAAATTCCCCATTTCTTAACTTGAAAAAAATTAAATAGTATAGTGACTAATTCAATATTCATTCAAATTTTTAGTTTTTTTTTATTATTATTATTATTATTTAATTTTTAAATTAAACATGTATAATATAACTTTTTTAATACTTTTATAGTAATTATGATTATTTTCATGAAAAATCATTTATTTTTTAGAGAAAAATACTTAGTGATGAAGTTGAATAAGTGAAAATGTCAACCAGTCTATTTACACTTAAAATATTAATTGTAAATTTTTTTTTTACATTTGTATTTTCTATTTGAAAATATGTTAAAATCATCGTTAACTTTTCAGAACTTCTAAATTAGAGTTTCTTAAGTAAAAAATATATCTCAATATGACTTGATTTTANATTACTTCACATAAAATTCCTATTATTTCATGAAAGTGCTGAATTTTTCTGTGATGCAGCTATACATTTAATTTAGGATAAAACATCTCTTAATTCAGTAAACTTATCTATCAATACCATATAATAATAATGTAGCTATTCTGGTAATGTTAACCACACAGGCTTAAGCATCCTCTGAGTTCGAAAAAGGTTTTGTACAATTTATTTAAATTCAATTATAGTTGTGATTTAATTCTCTTTTACTTGAAACATGCCTTCCAATCATTCATTTCATTTTCATTATTTGTAGTTTGCTAATTTTGTAATATGATGCAGTACATAATAATTTTTTTATTAATTCAAATAATTTTTATGAACTTGCCTTTCTTGAATAATTATTTATTTTCCTGATAAAAATTCGTTTGAGAAATTCCCCATTTCTTAACTTGAAAAAAATTAAATAGTATAGTGGCTAATTCAATATTCATTCAAATTTTTAGTTTTTTTTTTATTATTATTTAATTTTTAAATTAAACATGTATAATATAATTTTTTTAATACTTTTATAGTAATTATGGTTATTTTCATGAAAAATCATTTATTTTTTAAAGAAAAATACTTAGTGATGAAGTCAACCAGTCTATTTAATGTCAAATTCTATTTAAATGAAATGTCAACCAGTCTATTTACTTTTAAAATATTAATTGTAAATTTTTTTTTTTTACATTTGTATTTTCTATTTGAAAATATGTTAAAATCATCGTTAATTTTTCAAAACTTCTAAATTAGAGTTTCTTAAATAAAAATCTCAATATGACTTGATTTTATTCAAAAATATTTTAAACTAACAAAAATGCACAATTTTTTTCAGAGAAATGATTTTAAAACTGACAAAGTTACAGAATCGTTTTCCTAAACAGTGCAGCTTAAACACTCATTGTTTAAAGTTTATTTTTTTTTAAAAAAATGCACTAAAAATTAAAATATGCAAACAAATTAGAACTTCACATTAAAATCAGAAATGAAAATAAACATTTAAGCACGTCGAAATTTGAACTTCTTACTTTTGTCTAATTCTACAAATCCAAATTTAACAGTTGATAATTCTTGAATCGAATTCATTTTTATTGCATTAAACTTCTTGAATATTTTCATACATCTTCGTATTTTCAATTTTTAGTCATATAGTTTTTGCGCTGCAAAACTAAATGTAAATTTTTTTTATAAAAATACAACAAAGCACTTAAAACAATTTAAATTTAATTGAATATTAAAATTTAAAAAAGAAAACTTGTATTAAGTTCGTAATCAAAAGAGGTCCTACTGGTATGTCAAATTTTAACGCTGTAGTTGTATTCCTGTGGTCTTCAAGCATAGTGTTTTTTTACAACTAGTTTAGGAGTTAATAATTCTCGGAAATAATTTTTTTATTCCGTGGAAGTACTTGTACAACTTTCAACAAACACCTTCATAATTTCAAGTTTCTAAAGCATGGAAGACCAGCATATGCAAAAAAGCTTAACAATATCAAAAATTGACAGATTGTTTCACATAGTAAAAAAAAATTCTTTATATATATATTTATCACCACCAGGATTCATACTAGCATTTTTTAAAAGAATATTGTAATACATACATTCTGTGATGCAAAAAATTTAGCAAAATCATTACTGTGGGACTAATTGAAGTGAAATGTTTAAAGGTAAATATTTCTACTAGTATGAAAGTTCAAATAAGTGTTTTTGACTGCAAAAAATTTAGCAAAATCATTACTGTGAGAATAATTGAAGTAAAATGTTTACTGAATGTTTAAAGGTAAATATTTCTACTTGTAATGAAAGTTCAAATAAGTGTTTTTGACTATTTTCATGCTAAACATATCCTAATGCGTTTCTTTTCATTATACCAAAATTATGCATTAAATTTGACACTTTTGACAAAAGTACAAGATTTATAAATTTTTGATTTATTATTGATGCTGTTTTGACTGATATAACTTGATAAATAAAAGGATATTATTTTGTGACACAGCTCTGAAAGCATTGTACCTCTAAAGCAGAAAACAATGTGAATAACATTTAAACTTACAATACCTTAGATATACATTATACTAAATTGACTGGAAAAAAATTGGGACTACGACTACAATGACAAATATATAAATTTTTAACATTTCAAAAGTTTTTAACCTATTCAAAAAAATTTTAACATATTCCAGTAAGTAATATAATAATGAAATATGAATTATTATATTAATTATCATTAACAGTCATTAATAATTATATTGTTAACAGGGGTCTGTCCAGGCCGAATTTACTACCGTTTACGTACCTTCACAAATTCAATTTTAGGTAAAACTGTAGTTTCACAAATTCAACTTTAGGAAAAACGGTATTTTCACAAAATACTTTTTCTTAAAATTTTATTTTTGTCTCCCTTAAGAAACGATAAATCTATATTCTTACCATGTTTTAGTGTTGACTTTTTAATATAATTTTTCACA